CCGCTTCGTCCACGGTGAAAGCCGATCCGGCGAAGTTGATGTATTCCCTCAGTGACCAGCACTGATCAGCTCCAGGCATGACGAAGCAGATATCGTCCTCTTTTGGAAGGCCAAACAAAGTAATTTCACTTTCACAACGAAACACACAGCATCTCCACGACATGGCGGACGGCGGCAACAACAGTACTAACCTTTAATATACACTAGTACTTTTGCAGCACACCGGACTGTTTTGACAGCTCTTAGCGTGTGTATCTTTGATCAGTAATTGAGGTGGAGATTTTAAAGTGTTTTGTGCTTATCTGCTTTCACTATTCCACCATCACTGAGGCTGTGCTGCTGAGTGTTGATAGCTTCAGTGACTATGAGTAATGAGAGGCGCCCAGGTAAAAGGCAAACCACAGAGCTTTGGGCCACAGCTGAAATCCACAGTACGTGAATTGAATTGTGTGTGTGCGTCCCTCTACTGTTTGAATAAGGCTGCTGACTCGTCTGTGGTCTATGAGCTTCATGTGGCAGCCTCAGCTCATTGAGCTTCTTTCAGATTAATTGAACCCAGACTGATGTCACTGCTCTTGTTGTGGCCTCTGGCATTGGTTTATCCCAAAGGGAACAAGCCATCTGTGCTAAAGGACAACACAAGTGCTCAGACTCAAAAAGTGTTTGTGTGGGTGTTTATTGTACTAACATTTGTAAAGCATGTTTAGTGTATTATTCATCTGATAGGATTCTATCAGATGGTTGTATGGGTTGAGCTCATTAACTGTTATAAAATCCACTTCAGGCTATTAGTTTCAGCGGGATTACACAGGAATTCTTGTCTCAGTAAAGTCAGCAGATATGTGGCATAGCTTTTGCTTGTCTAACACATGGGCCTCGCAGCAGTGAGACTGTCTTGGGGGGCCCTGGAGTTGACAGCTTACTTAAGAGCACAACAGCATTGGTCAGAGGAAATACCCAAGCAAGTTCTTAAAGTGAAAGTTCACCCGCAAATGAAAATTCTGAAATATATATTCACCTTCTTGACTTTCTTTTTTTCTGTGAAACAAGAAAATAAAAGTATTTTTTGGAAAAATATTCTGAAATACAATGTTGTTCAAAAGCTCAGAGTTTGGAGCCAGTAAGATTTATCCTTTTGAAAAAGACGTAATACTTCAATTTAGCAGGAATGCATTAAACTATAAAAGTGACAGTAAAGGCATTTATAATGTTATAAAAGATTTTGAACTTTTGAACTTACTGTGCATCAAAGAATCCTGGTTAAAATGTATCATACCACAAAAATATTAGGCAGCACAACTGTTTTCAATATTCATAATAATAAGAAATGTTTCTTGAGCAGCAAATCAGTATATTAGAATGATTTCTGAAGGATCATGTGACTGAAGACTGGAGTAATAGCTGCAGAAAATTCAGTTTTGCCATCACAGGAATAAATTAAATTTTACAATATATTAAAATAGATAACAGTTATTTTAGATTTTAATAATATTTTATATTTTTTTATCAAATAAATGCAGCCTTGGTGAGCATAAGTGACGTTATTTAAAAAATATTAACAACCCCAAAGCTTTGTAATTGTAGAGTGTATAATGAATGTGAATGAGGAGTCGTTAAGCTGTCAAAACATTCCATACAAGTATTCTAAAAGTAGTCATATTTCAGCTTTTCTGAAGTCATATGATTGCTTTGTGTGAGAAACAAACTGAAATGTACAGTGAGTACAGAAAAGAATCACCCTCTTTAAAATAATCACATTTTGACTGTATTTCTGATATTTTTATGATACTTTTTGCCATTTTTAAAAGCTTGAGTATATCATTTCCCATTCATATTCCTTAAACAGGATATTCTTCAAAATGTACTTTTTGTGTCTTTGCAATTATATGGAAACAGTACAGTGTACATTATTAAAAAATGAATTTAGAATTTCAGTCATTGGGGTTTGGAATAGCATGAATGTGAGCAAGTGATGACATTTTTGGGATCTTTCTCAGTGCATTAATTGCTCCTCTAGCCGTAGTCAGTGAACTCAGAGTTCAGACCTTCTTCTCTGACCAAACCTCACCTGATACATCTGTATTTTATCCACATCCAGAGATATCTCTGTCTACCGGGAGTTTTTCTGAATTCATTTGTTAGTTTAGATTGTGGTCACTCAGGCATGCATGCAAGCCATTTTCTTTTGCGTGAGGCTATTTTTCCCAGCAGTGTGCATGCTAAGTGAGTCTAGACTGCAGAGTAATACAATTCGTGGCCTAATGGTTAGAGAGTCGGAGAGTAGTACTGCAGAGTAGTACAGTCGTGGCCTAATGGTTAGAAAGTTGGACTTGTAAACCAAAGGTCGCGGGTTTGAGTCTTGGTACCAGCAGGGATTGTAGGTGGGGGGAGTGAATGACCAGTGCTCTCTTCCACCCTCAATACCATGACTGAGGTGAGCCCCTTGAGCAAGGCACCAAACCCCCAACTGTTCCTGGGTGCCACAGCAAAAATGGCTGCCCACTGCTCCGGGTGTGTGTGTTTATTCTTTACTCACTGCTGTGTGTGTGTACTTGGATGGGTGAAATGCAGAGCACAAATTCTGCCACACACCACATCACATCACTCACTCACTCACTCACTCACTTACTCACTCAATTTTGTAATTTGGCTGCAGCAGAAGGCACAGTTCTTGCTGTCTGTAAACTTCTCGTTCTCAAGCACCCTGAAGCTCGTCTCCCTGACCCAATCACATTTTTAGCAGTGCTCTCAGACTCCTTTAAAACATCACAGCAGGACTTCTGTTGTGTCACTCGAGGACTCAAGAGGGAAATGTCTCTGTAAGGTTGCTTGACAGCACTGGTGAAAAGGCTTTTGCATTTTTAATCGATTTTCTCTGAATGGCCTCTTTTGTTATACCTTTTCTTCATAACTTCGGATATTATGTGAAAGATGCTGGCTCTTTGAGAGTCTGATCACCAACAAAGTAGATCTACATCAGTTGTAGGACAAAGAAGAGAGTCACTTACGGTTGTAATGTGCAACGATACTCTGTGTGTATCCAGCCTCTTTAGTTACATTGTGTGATTACTTCAGCTAGAGAATAAAGAGTGAAAAAAATCACAGTAACTGCATTATTTGTGTGAAACAAACTTGAATTTCAATTAATAACCTCTTTGCGCATGTCTCTGCAATGAAATCAGTTTGAACTGTGAAAATTAGATACATTACATTTAATTAGAATCATTCATCCAGTTAGACATGGATTTTATAGAGCACAAAAAGTGATTCTTTCACACAGTGCTTCTGTATTAATGTTTCTCAGTCTTAGATAGCCAAGGGGTCTGTGGAAAATTCTTGAATAGTAAGACCATGGCAAGCAATATGATTGGAGTGCTGAGAGCTTCTCGCAGTATACTTTCCATTTATTTTCTCCTTTCAGATTTCAACATAT